CTAAAAATGACTATTGAAAAAAGGAATATGGTGGTTTTCATCTCTTTTTTTCTTTCATTAACTTTCATTAAGGGAAAATACTTTAATAAACTGTATTTAGTAGAGCAGGCAACTTACTTGTAACTGGTTTAGCAAATTTTAGAGTGTGTAGTGATGAAATGTAGCACAGAATAAGTGTGGCCATTGCTTGAATCTTGTATTTGGCCATGTGTAGTTCTCTGTTACTCTGTTTTTCATCCAGTTATATCTCATTATAGTTATAAGCAAGAAATATATCCATACTAATAATCATGTCTTTGCTTGCAGTGAACTGCTAGATCCTAGTTTGCAGTCTTTTAACAGGTCTGACAGGAGGCAAATGGCCAGGCCCAGTCACAGCGCCAGCCTGCCCACCTGTCTGTGGGCACACTGCCCACCTTACTTGCCTGCCATGCCTTGTTGTTAAATTAAGATGGTACTAGGTGGGAGGCTGCCCTTCAAGTGCCCTGATGTCAAAGGGCAGTATTCACAGAACTCCGACCTCCCCTTTATCATGTCCCATGCCTTGCAGATGTTTCTATGAGTTGTGCTATGCTCTGGCCTGAGGCCAGACCCAATTCAGCACAGTGTTAGGCCTCTCTCACGCTGCCCTTTTTAGAGCTTCGCGCATACTGACCCCCCCCCCCCCCCCCACGGCTCCCCCCCCCCAGAGCCTGTGCCCTTTAGCCCTACCTGCTTCATGCCCCTTACCAGGTCACATTCACCCCATCCTGCTCCTTTCCACAACCGCGTAGGTCATCAGACTTTTCTTTCCTTGGCTGTCCTTGGCCAGGGCTGGCACAGCCTTTTGGGCCTCTCCCACGACCCTCATCTGCACGATGGCTGAGCAGTTAGCCAAATAGTGGATTAACTCCACCCCCAGCGCCTCACGAGGTAACCCCCGGATCTCCTATTGGGGTCAGTAACTCGCCCTTTTCACTCATGACTTGCCCTATGATGCCTCACTCACCCTCAGGCCTACTTGCCTCCTCAGGCACCCGAATGCTTACTTGGGTCTCTTTGCCCCTTTCCTCACGGGGCCTCAACACACTCACCCCCTTCTCTTGGGCTCAACACACTCGCCCCCTCTGCTGAGGCTCTGGGATCTTACACCTCCACAGGTCCATGGGCATACCTGGCCCCACTAGCCTCCAGGATCTTACACCCATATGGGCTTAGATGCCTCCTGATAGGTGTGCCTGGCCCCACTACCTTCTCTGGGCTCGGGTGACCCTCCCTGGGTGTGCCTGGCCCTACTCCCCTCCGCTGTTGTTAACCCACCAAATGGTGGAGGCTGCGGTTTTAAGGCACCCCTTATTGCCTTTCCCCAGGGAGGTAACTGGCCTGGCATTTCTTGGGGACTGTCCCCCCACAGCCACTTCCACCAGGCCTCCATTCCCCAGCAGTCATACCAAGGGCAGAAGTCTCCTGCCATCCCCATAGCTCCTGCCCTCACCTCCAAGATGTTCCATGAGTATCAGCGCAGCCGGGTAATGTTGCTCCTTCAGCTGCTAGCAGCAAACTGCTGCTCTAGCACAGAGAGCCAGGATCTTAAAATGGCTGCCTCATCTGGACTGGCCTGCACATGTCTTCTACCTGGTCTCCTCCTTAAAGTGGCAGAAACCAAAGGTGCTCTGCCACCCACCTTCACCCTTAAAATGGTTTCTGGGGGATGCTTTCCCTCATAAATGACTGGTGCCTCCTGAGACTGGGGGGGTGCGCCATTTGTAGGCAGCATTGGGGACTGCCTGGAGATGCCGGTGGCAGTCAGAGGCGAGCGGGGAATGCCTGCAGACACTGGCGCTGGTGGCAGTGGGGGGGAGGGGTGGTAGTCGGCAAGCGGGAACTGCCCACCGATGCTGGAGCAGGAGGTGGTGGTCAGTGAGTAGGGACTGCCCACAGATGCCAGCAGCTGCATCAGCGGCAAGGGGAGGGTGGGTGGTGAGCAGCAACTGCCTGCCAAACCTGGCGGCGGCTTTGGCAGCGGCCAATCTCAGAGGGGCCATGTGCCCCCCCATGCCCTTCCTACACGTCACCTATGCTTTCCCTGCTGCTCACAAAGCAGGCTCCCTCACAGCCTGTAATAGCCCTTAAGTGGTGAGCACCCCATTGGTGCTCCACCACACAGGGAATATACTTCCTTGGAGTGACAGTAACTTTACTTGAGCAGAAATACCAGAAATGATCCTATTATCTGATCCCACTTGCCTGACACTTGAGGCTTCTGTTAGTGAGTTTGAAGAGCTCTAGTTGATGACAAATTGTGGATTTAATACAAACATAATATTTTAGTAAAGTGTGAAATATCCTGGGCATTAAATCTTGATTAGAATTTTCTATTAAGTAATATTCTTGGGGTTTTGTGTTAAGGCCCTTGAGATTTAGCTCTGCCTTTGTATCTGTTTAGATCCAAGTTCACAAGTTAATGTCATTTGTATGTATGCGTTGAAAAGTTAGAGGAATTTGTCTAGGCAGCAGCAGAACAGCTAAGTAAAGTAAGAAAATGTATTGCATGTCTACCATAAATATGAAGAATGATGGCAGTGAATCGCAGAGAACTAATGCTGATGTTTTGTAAAGATATAGTTTGCATCTCTTATCTTGCTTTCTGGGGCTTTCATGTCTTTTTCTGGTAAGGAGTAACTAATACCTCAACAGATTCAAAATAAATGGCCATTCAGAAGTGTCAGGGGAAGAGAGAGACTGTCAGAATACTTGAATATCCCCTTTTTGGAATGGTTTTCCAACATCATCCTCCTATACAGGATAGCAAAGAAAAATTATTGAATTAGGCCAGTTTCAGAGATGAAAGACCTATTTTAGGATTACTCAGTCCTTTTTGATCCCAGTCTTACGCATTTATGCATAAATCATTTGTCTCTTAAAGTTCTTTGAGGAGGTTTCATATCCTTCTGTGACATCATAGGATTCTGAAAATGATCTTTCTGTGGAAACAGTCAAGACATATTAGTGCACGTGCAGTTAGAAAACATAGAAGAATGGTTTCACAAGCTGATCCCTTGCATAAACTGGATTTGGTGCTTCAATATACATGTGTTTCAAGGGACCGAATCTGGAACATGAGTCAGCGTCTGCCCTTGTAGTGTAGTCTATAGATTTTATGCATGGGTATTCAAGGCAAAATTTGTCTCAGTATGTAAATCTAAAGCCACTTGCCTTTTGAAAATTAAGTGACAAGATTATGGAAGAGACTGAGTATAAACAACTCATGCTTAGATGTGGGAGGTGTGGTTGATGTCATATACTTGGATTTTAAAAAGACCTTGGATATGGTCTCCTACAATGCTCTTATGAAAAAACTGGGGGATTGTGGACTGGCAGAGTCCACAGTTAGGTGGGTTGGGAGGTAGCTTAGGGGTCGAACCCAGAGAGTGTTAGCGGATGAGAATATATTGTCTTGGCAGGAGGTGGCCAGTGGTGTCCCACAGGGTTCGGTTCCTGACCCTGTGCTGTTTAATATCTTTATCAATGATTGAGATGGAGATGTGGAAAGCACTCTGGCCAAGTGTGCGGACGATACTAAGTTATGGGGAAAAGAGGTCACACTAGGGGACAGGATGTGGATTCAAGCAAACAACAAGCTGGAAAGGTGGGGAAAGCGGAACTGGATGCAGTTCAATAAGGATAAATGCACTGTTCATCTGGGGAGAAATAACCAGCGACATGAATATAGGTTAGGAGGAGATGGTCTGGCCAGCACAATGGCTGAAAGGGACATCAGGGTTATGGTTGATCACAGGATTCACATGAACTGCCAGTGGAATGCTGTAGTCAACAGTACTAATAGCATACTGGGATGCATTAGCTGATGCATCACAAGCAGGGCTAAGGAAGTAATACTTCCTCTCTACTCAGTGCTGGTGAGACCCCAGCTGGAGTACTGTGTCCAGTTCTGGGCACTGCACTTCAAAAAAGATGTGGAGAATCATCAAAGGGTCCAGAGAAGGCCACAAGAATGATGAAGGGCTTGGAGGCCAAAACTTACAAGGAAAGACAAAGGGATCTGGGACTGTTCAATCTGTGGAAGAGAAGACTTAAGGGGGGACTTGGTGACTGTCTGTAAGTATATAAGGAGTACATATTGGGAGCTCGGAGAAAAACTGTTCACTAGGGGGCCCCAGCGGAGGGCAAGGAGCAGTGACCATAAACTGTTAGCAGATGGTTTCAGGTTGTATGTAAGGAAGAACTTCTTTCCGGTAAGGGTGACCAGAATCTAGAATAGACTTCCCAAGGAAGTGGTGCAGTCCCCAACCTTGGAAGTCTTCAAGAGGAGACTTGTGCAGTATTTGTCTAAAACAACAAAATTATGACCTTAGAGAGTGATAGAACCATCTGTTTTACAACAGGTTAATCATCCCTTTTAGAGCATAAAAAATGGAACTACTTTCAGTAACTCTGGTCAAATGTTGACCATCTGTTAAATTTTTTCATAAAATATTGTCTGCATATATTGTCATGGTCATATCCATGTCTTGAACTATATTTTAATGTACCTTTGGCTACTTCATTTGTATTCTTCTCACTCCACCTGCTCACCTAACAGGATTCCTGCTAGGATCTGGAATAGACCTCCCAAGGAAGTGGTGCAGTCCCCAACCTTGGAAGTTTTCAAGAGGAGACTGGACAAACACCTTGCTGGGATCATTTGGTCTCAGCAGTATTCCTGCCAGAGCAGGGGGGTTGCTCTTGATGATCTTTCAAGGTCCCTTCCAGCCCTTAATTTCTATGATTCTATGATTCATGCATTTAAACATTACATATTTTTTGGAGGATAGAGGATGTACGTGTGATGGCAGAATTTGGTCCTGTCATGACTTTCTTTACTACTTCATCTTAAATTTTGCTAGGCCACAGTGCTTGAGTCCTTGTGGGGCCTGAATTTTTATAGCTGTGTTTAGTGGAAGATACAACAGCCAATGATTAATGTACTAACATTTTTTTCATATTTTTTTGTTTTGTAGCAGTTGAAACTCAGAGCACCAGTTCTGAGGAACTTGTTCCAAGCCCACCGTCTCCACTTCCTCCCCCACGTGTTTACAAGCCGTGTTTTGTCTGTCAAGACAAGTCATCTGGATATCACTATGGCGTCAGTGCTTGTGAGGGATGTAAGGTGAGTAGTTAAACCTCACTCACCCATTTTGTTTGAAAGCACTGCATTTCCTTTTTTAGAGATGAGCTGAGCAGATCAGGCTGAGATGGGAATGGATGTCTCCAAAGACAAGGCAGGCTGCCTACTTGAAACATATCTGACCTGTGGAAAAAAGCCATGCAAGTGGCTTTTGTTCCTGGAACAGCCTCTCCTTATAATTCCTATAACAGTATTTCTGGCAGAGATGTCAGCAAGGATTGGCTGACAAGAGGGAGAGAATCAAAAGTACATCTTTTTTAGAGTGGTACTTCAGGAATAATGTAGAAACGCATGATGACTCCTCTTAATTCACTGTGTCCTTCAGTATGCACTGAAGGATTCATCTGTTGTTCTTTTGCCTTTTATGTAGTATACTGCCTCCAGTGTGTTTAAAAGTGTGCAGTTTGGATAATGATCTGATCATTCCATTAATACAGCAAGTTTGAGCTCTTGGGTGATGGCTGTACCCTCAAATTCATCCATGATCAGGTGGGCTTTGGGTGTGGATCACAAGCAAAGCAGAATGACAGCTACAAAATAAATTTGACACTGTGTAAGGTAAAAGACAGGATATATTTGATAGGTGTTTTTTGGCACAGCGATTGTCAAAATTTTAATTGACTATCCATAACGTCACGCCGATAAATTTGCAGTATCCGGATTTGGAATTCTAAAGTATATACTCACAGAGACTGAGCATATATCGGAGGAGCTGTGTCAGCCGAGTCCCATCTGTACATTTCTTTGTATGGGAATACATAGAACAGTTAGAGGAGGATATTGTATAACATGAAAAAGTGGGTAAATTAAATGGGTATCATTCAGAAATACGTCGTGGAAAATTGTGAAGAAGAGCTGATTAAGCTGTGGATTTACAGTTTTGGTTTTATTGCTGTTCAGCGTATACTATACAATTGCTATTTTTTACACAGTGGGAAGGAATGTAGAGCAGAAGTCTTGTCAATTTTAATAATGTACTTCAAAATCTTGCTTGGTAGTCTACATGATTATGCATGCACCAACCCATACAAACACACACAACAAAGCTAATTTTAGTATGTTTTTAAAATCAATATTCTATTCACATCCTGCCAGATTATTAATAGACAGTAGGGAAACAACAATAAATTGGTTGTATGGATTGTGGTACGTGCTGCCATGCAAAACATTTTGAGTTCCCAGTGGATGGTTCACAGAGCTGTTTCACTCATTCCTGTCTGTTTATAGTGTCCCCTATACAAATTCACTAGGAAGACAGAAGGTGAAATTGCTCAACTTCCTGCAGGCTCATGCAGTATCTCACAGTATGAGGTTTTAGCGCAGAAAAAGAGACATTGGTGTGGGATAACACACTTTGGTTACTATTCTGTTCTCTGTTAACACAGAGTTGTTATGTTACAGCATTAAGTTACAGTATGTTGGTGTAACGAATGTTATAAAAATGATGAACTATCCCTATCCTATTAAAACATCTTTATTTATACAGCACCTAGCATTGTGGAGTCCTGGTCCCTACTTACTGCCTGTTTAGTGATACCAAAGAATAAGAATGATGATTTAGTAACTTAAAAGTGGATATCTTAGATTAATTGAGATGAAATATTGGACCTGTTTCTATTGTGTTAGCCACTTGTACTTTACATGTCAGTTTGGAATTTCTCATGTGCAAGCAGACTCCTGTTCCTCTATAGATCCCCTTTGATTTGTACTATTGTACATAATAGCATAAGAAATACCATACTGGGTTAGACCAATGGTCCATCTAGCTCAGTATCTTGTCTCTAACAGTGGCAAGGGTGGATGCTTAAGAGGGAGAATATATGAATATTCCTGTTCCTGTCATATCCTCCCTGGTATTCATCAACATTGGTTTTGAGGTGCCAGAGGACACAAGCCTGATTTGTTTATTAGCTATTAATGGATCTGTCATTCCTGAATTTGTCTAGTCTGTTTTTGAACCTGGCTATACTGTCTGTCTCTACAATACCCTGCATTAATGAGTTCCACAAGTTTAACTATGGACTACATGAAAAAGTACTTTCTCTTTTTTAGTTTTAAGCCTCTTTCTTGCTAATTTCAGTGGGTGCCTCCTTAGTTCTAGTATTTTGGGACTTGATGAATTACAGAAGAATCCTAATGGTTTTTAGTCCTTCTTAGTATGGTTATACTCCATACCCCTGATCAACTTATTTGTCATTTTCTGTACCTTTTCTAATTCTACTACATCCTTCTTGAGATGCAAAAATAGTGATTTTAGTGTCTGCCCACATGCAGGAAGTTATGGATCTAAGCCTTATTTCCACCCCCCTCCCCCTTCTCCCCAGTATTAAAAAAATGTCAAGGCATTTGAAAGATATTATTTAAATTCAGTAGTATTTTAGGGTCTCTTTCCAGTTCTGAGATTATGCAGGATACCATCACTGTGTCCTCAAGTAGCATAAGATTTTAGTAGCCACTGGGCTACTGAAATGTCAATGGCTCTTAGGAAAAAAAATCTAATATACTGTATATATCTAATTTCACTAAATTGCAGATCTAATCATTGTCATCTTCCCTGCTCATGAAAGTATAATTGTGAGTGTAGTAGAGCACTCAGATGTTCCTAAGATCTCATTGTTTTTTTGCCCAGCATATTATAGGACTTTTTATTGGTACACTGCAAAGCATTATCACACATAATTGAAATAAATTCACTCTTGTCAAAATAAATGGGTGCCCATTTTGTAATGCAGTAATCATTGTTTTAAAAAAATCAAGTCTGCTTTTCTAACTACTTTGCAAAATTTGTCATTCAGCACTTAAATGCCACAGTGATAGGTGAAAAAATGTAATATAAGTATATATAGATGTGTGTGTTATTCAATGATGGTTAAAACTTGTCTGATGAGAAAGTTATACTCAGACTACTAGTAGGCAATTGGTAACAGTCATAGGTAACTATGAATCTTCTAGACTGATGACAATGATCTTATTAAATAATTTTACCCCATCCTCAACAATGTTCGACACCAGTTGATCCATTCTGTTCCTAAACCTTTGCTCTCCTGCTTTTATATCTTCATGTTGTGCTCTTATATCATTGAATATGTCCAGGGAAAATCAGCCAACTTGGTAGTCCATCTTTTTAATCACCTTTCTCATTGTAACTCATTCCTAGGATGCTAGTTTCACCAACATATCCTCCAACCTCCTTCATAAATCCTTTTTCTAGCTTTCTTCTTCACAGCAGCTTCCTACCCAGCTGTTGCATGGAGTAAAACAGGGGTGACCATCCTTCAGCATGCATGCCTATGTGTGTAGTACATGCCAGATTGGAGAGGGGGCAGGGAGCACAGTGGCCGATACGGAAGGAAGTAGAGAGAAAAGCAGTAGATCAGGCAAGGAGCAGAAAGCAGAGCAGCAGAGTAGACAGGTGAGGAAATCAGAGTGACTCTTGGGAAGGGTGTATGGTTAATTTGTGGCATGCCTACCAACACAGTTGGCCCACACTGAAGTAAAACAGTCATTCTATACCAATATAACCTCTCCTTTTCCTTTCCCCTCCTTAATTTACGCGTATTTCTAGCTCCCCTCTCTTCACCCCTATTCCTTGTCTATTCCCTAGTCTCTCTGCTATTAACTTTTTCATTTTATCTCATGCTTCTTCATCATCTGCTATCTTTAGTTCCTCCTCCCTTTTCTTTGTCTATTTTTTTGCTGACTTGCTCATTTTTCACTGCAGTCTTTTCTCCCAGTCTTGTAAAAAAAATAAATAAATTAAAAAAAAAAATCCATCCTTGAGTCCAGTTCCCCTCTCTAAAGAGGGGTCTGTCCTTTTCTTTCCTTTGTTTCTTTGTCTCCAGAATGCTGGTAGTGCTGGGTGCTCGTTCTCTGTTGGCTTCCTTTCCTTTCCTTTCCTTTCCTTTCCTTTCCTTTGTCCTCATCTATCTGGCTTCCTGCTTTCTATTCTACCAGCGCAGAATAGTCAGTTACTAATAAACTCCTACCAGCTCAGTCAGAAGAGCAGTTCTCAGCCCTAGATCTGTTAACTTCCTTAGATCTGGTGAATACTCTCCTTTACTACCTTCCCAGTCTTGGCTGGCATAACTGCAATTCCTGTTCTCCGTCTGCCTTCCTAATTGCTTGCTCAGTGCCTCTTTAAATGGCTCCTCTTTTCTTTTCTGCTGTGGTCTCTTGGGCCAAGTAGAGGCAGTCAAAAAGTCTGAGGCTGAATTGATTCAATCTTCGCAGGCTAGTTTAACATGCATAGACTGAACTGATAAGCAAGTGAACAGACATTCACTTTCAATTCCAGAAATGCAGCCACATGCCTGCAGTGGCCCAGGCCACAAGCTGGGAGGTGCTAGAGCATGCCTCCTTGCTGGGCTGGAGCAGACAACTTGGATCAAGGCTAGCCCCCACCCTGTGAGAGTGGGTTTGTGGGGGAGGTGCAAAGCATCCTGGGATGCTGGGGGACTGTGTGTTAACTTGGATTTGGAGGGGATCTGAGACATAAGATCAATAAACCAACTTACCATGAATCAATTAAGTCTGATACTACATCCATCCCGGTTTATCTTAAGCTGGTTTTGGCCATTTTGAAAGTGATTTATACGCACTGAACTTCTGTTGTGTTACACATTTGAACCAGTTTCCGATCACTTATACTGGCTTATGTGTAATTTCTGTCCCTAGCCTTGGAGTTCTGTTCTTGTTCCTCCTTTCTTGCCTGTAGATGGTTTTATTTCTTCCCATGGTTTCAGCTACCTCTTCTTCATGAATGTTTCCCAACTTCTACCCCCCTTATATTTGACCTTGCCCGTGTCATCATTCCATTTGTTTCTCACGTATCTTCTTGGTATACCTCAGTATTTTGAAAACAACTATACTACTTTTCCATTTTCAGACTCTAGTTTTTCAGATAACTCTTTTTCAGAGAGTGCTATCCTTTCATCATTTTCTGAAGATAAGAACCCTTTTAAGTCACTCAGTTTGGACGCTCA